ATAACATGTACTTAACATTAATATAATTTATATGTAATATTTTATTTTATAATTATAATATTATTAAAATTAAAAATGTATAGTTCATAGCATTATACAATTTTGAAAAATGTATATATACGCCGCAACTAATATATCGTACATGGTGTCAAGTGTTATCTAAAGGTATATTGTATATGCATTGCGCGGCGTATGTTCGACATATACGTGCACTTGTTGACAACAACGATTAAATATTCTAAGTTAACAAGATTAGTTTAAAAGTATATATGTATGACTGCATAACGTAGTGGATTAGCGTGTCTTACTTCGGATCAGAAGGTTGTGGGTTCGACTCCCACTATGATTGCTTAAATTATATCCCTTTATGAAAAACCTAAAACATAAATTCTTCCGGAAAAATGGTTAAATAGACTTATTAACTTTGGATGAAAATGAAATTAGGCCCTCACACCTTAAAAAGGTTCAATTATTGTGACACCCCATATATCCAAACTCACTAGGATTAATTATCATCCTAGTTTTATTGGTAATTTATTCCCAAAATCATGAAAATTCAATAGTCGGGGGACTAGAATTTGACTAGTCAATCCAAGTCAAAGCGTTGTACCTTATGCCTTATGAGTTGTTCCCTTGTCTCCTTATTCTTCCAACTTTAGTAAGGGAAAAGATGTCTTTCTACCTAAAGTTTGTGCTCCAAGCTAACCTAGCATCATCCTTTCATTTCACCCACCAACACTCTAAACACAAAACCTCTACCTTCTCTCTAAGAATTTGGTAGCTTATTCTCCAAGCCAAATTTTGGGCATCTTAGATTCTACAAGTTGGCTTCCAAGATTCATACTTTCCTAACCTTGAGCATAGGGGAGGATAAGATCCTTGATCTCTTGGTGTTTTTAGTATCTTTTTAGATGTCTTTTTCTAAAAATAGAATCTTTGTTGTCTTTTGGTGTATTTATGAAGTTGGTGTTGAAGAAGAGCTTTAGGAGAAGCTTTTAAGGGTGAGAAAAGTGAAGTGTTAGGCTACAAAGGTAACCCATGCTTTACAAAATCTATTTTCTTACTTATATGATGATTTCTTAGATTCTACTAGTGATTCTTGTGTTGAAATGTGTGATTTGATGCATTGTCTTGTGGTAATGCATGTTTAGAGCTTGTTATTATTGTTCTTGTATGCCATTTCTTGGCAATTTCTTGGTTTCAAGTCATATTGTTGTATTGTGCGAGATTTTGGGTGTTTTGGACTTGAATTTGGACTTGTTGTTGAAAATCCACGAAGGGTTTATTTTGGAGCACAGGACGGCACCCGCGGGCGGAACGACGGGTAGTGCACCACCCGCGGGGAACAGGTGGTCGTGGGCTTCGTACCCGCGGGCGGAACCACGGGTGGAGGTCCACCCGTGGCCCCACCCGCGGGGTACATTGTTGTTGATGGTCGGGGATTTGTTCCACGTGATTCTTTTGACTCGGTATTGATGTTTTGACCTCCTGATGTTGTTTTATTGGGAAATTTGAGTGTCTTCTGGATGTTTCGTATGTGTAGAACAGTATGATAGGAATCCATGTAGGAATTGGTGTCTTGAATCGTGCTTGTGGTCCAATTTTGTGATTCGTTGGATTGATGTGAGTCTTGTATGTTCTAAGGAACTACTTTTGGTTTACCTGTTTGATGAGCATGCTAGTTTGATGTTGAAACGCTAGTGTGTGTGGTTTGTACTTTCCTTGTGAGATTGGCAACTTGTGTTGACCATCGTTTTGGTGTCGGATTGTGATCCTTCCTTGTGAGTATGGTTTCATATCTTTGTTGTGATCCATTGATTGATTCCTGTAATATGAAAATGTATGTAGTCGTTGTACCTTGACTACATGATTAAGAGTATGGGACCTTAATCTTCAAGGTACTGTTGCGGTCCTCGTGTGGTCATGATTTATATGTTGTTGGTTGTTACCTGAGCAAAGGCTCATATGTTGGTGGTTGTGTGATATGAACTATACCCTTGTGTACTGATATGTTGGTGGAAATGTTGGTGGTTGTTGGTAGGGGAACGACGGTTCCCGGAGGCATAAGGTTGGACGCAGAAGTACAGGGGTTACTCGGAGGTAATTGTTGGAACTGTAATAAGGCTGGGGGTAGCCATAAGGTTGGAATAGGGAAAAAGGTTGGAACCGTGTGAATCTTGTGACATGTAGTTGTCACTGTGGCAAGTAGTTTCCAATGTGTGAATGCCTAATCTTTGCTAATGAGTATGTCGTGATGTATTCTACTTCGTGATAACTAGAATACATCTCGAGTTGTATTGTTTACAGTTGTTATTCTTGTCGTGTTGTTGTCATGGGATGTTGATTTCCCTTTTTTCTTTGAGAGTGTGAAAGAGTCTTTGAAGTTGACTTCTCTCTTGCCTTTTGAAATGATATATACTATATTCCGTTTCGAAAATGGTTTTGTTTTATACTATCTATATATGCTATTTAACGCGTATTGATGGGTTACCAGCAATGTTCGCTGACCGTTCCCACCAGATACTGCCATGTGTACAATATCTCTTTTAGTAGGAAGACCACGGAGGATACACGTGATCAGGTTGCGGGGCTGCTTGGTGTGCCCAAGACTGACAATTTTGGAAGGTATTTGGGCTTGCCATCGTTTATAGGTAGAAGTAAAAGGGTTGCTTTTTTATGCTAATTATGTGCTGGTATCTGTCCCCCCTGACTTCGTTCTAGCTTCATTATTGTAATTAGTAATATAATTCATATTTATTTAACTTGTATTTAACATTAATATAATTTATATGTAATATTCTATTTTATAATTATAATATTATTAAATTCAAAAGTATTTAGTTTATAACTTTATATAATTTATAAAAATGTATATATATGCCACAACTAATATATCGTACAAGGTGCCAAGTGTTATCTAAAGATATAGCGTATATGCACTGCGGGGTGTATTTTCGGCATATACGTGCACTTGTTGACAACAATGATTAAATATTCTAAACAAGATTAGTTTAAAAGTATAAATGGTTGACCACATAGCGCACTAGATTAGCGCGTCTGACTTCGGATTAGAAGGTCGTGGGTTAGACGACCACTGTGGTTGCTTAAATTATTTCCCTTTAAGAAAAATAAAAAATATAAACTCTTTCAAAACTAAAACGAAAAATTTAGGGAATAGGGTCAAATAGACCCTTTAATTTTTGATCAAAAAGCAATTAGGCCCTCACACATTAAAATGGTTCAATTGCACTTGAACTCTTTAAAATTTTGCAATTAGACATAATTTACACGATGCAGATTTCCTTGGGAGAGTGGCGATGATTTTCTTGCCAATCCAGGAATCTTACAAATACAAATATCATATAAAATAGAAATTCATCCAACACCTTCTTTTCTCACACTTGGTCAGTGATTTATCTTTTCTCTTTACAAGATATTGCATAGATGTGAGATTTACCCTTAGATAATGTTTGCGAAGTTCAATTCTTCCGTAATCTAAAAATAAAAATTCGAATATAATATGTATAGATAATTATATTTCCATAAATTCAATATCTCTTTTAGTAGGAATACTACGGAGGATACACGAGATCAGGTTGCGGGGTTGCTTGGTGTGCCCTAGACTGAAAGTTTTGGAAGGTATTTGGGCCTGCCATCATTTATAGGTAGAAATAAAAGGGTTGCTTTTTCATGCTAACACTATGTGCTGAGACTCTGTCTCACCTGACATCATTCTAGCTTCATCATTAATTCCAAAATGATTTTTGTCTTTCAAAAAAGATAATTATATTTCAATTTTATAATTTGTGATATAATTATAATTTATTTAACTTGTATTTAACAGAAAAAGCACGTGAGTCTTGAATGCAAGATATAACCTTTAAAACATTAATTTATTTCAATTATAACGCTGGACTAGATGAAAACATATTCCAGATATAATAAAGAACATGAAATAAATAGCAGTAAAAGAAAGCATGCACCAGGATATGTTCATGCAGTTCGGAGCCTCACTCCTACGTCTGCGGGGCCACTCACATCAACCCAAATCCACTATGATGAAAAACGGAGTACAAAAGGATAGTTAATTAACTCTAAAGTATAACCTATAACTACTCCAGAACCTACTCCAGTGGATCCGATGTGCAGGTGTTCTTCATTGCTTCATGATCTGATTGCAAGATCTTCTTCACACACAACAGCACAAGATATATTTGGTATAGATGCAATAAGATTTTCAGAGTAAGACTTTGTGAAAGAGTGCGCAATTTGAATGCTAATTAAGGTAGCATTATATATAGGTTGTAAATGATGTTTTGATCCTCAACGCATGCACTCTTCCATTCCTTGAATTCGGCTGCTCCATTAGATTTAGATCTCCCCATTGATAGGGTCTTGAATAAATACTTTGAACAAGCTTTATACCTCCTGGATAACTTCCTTGCGCTGATCCAGTCAACTACTCCAGACGACGTGACTGATCCAGCAACTAATCCAGGACTACTTTGACAACTAATCTAAGACAATAATACAGAGGTTTAAATGTGCAATATATTTACACTTACAATCTCCCCCTTTGGCTATTAGTTGACAAAACTACTAAAAGATATCATCGGCTTTAAAATGAATTGCCAGATGAATAATCTATACAATTGAGATCGAATTAGTCACTAGTCAAGAGTAGCTAGACACACACCCTCCTTAAACTTAACCAATGTTGTGCCAGAGAATTTCAAACACAACTAAGGCATACAAACACATAGAAATTTAAAGCACAAAGAGACACAGAACACATACATGTCACATAATATAACTGCATAGCATTTATCACATAGTCAAGGCAAAACATGCAGCACCTTAACACATATAAAAGCAAAATAAAGGTAGAGCACACCACATTATTCACTGGCACTTATGGCTAAGTTCACAAAAAAAAAAAAACGTACTCCCCCTTACTACGTGCACTCCCCCTTTTTGTCAATCTAATGGACAAAGAGCAGCATCAGGACTGGGTGGAGGAGGAGGAGGTCTCCAAGTCTTCATCATCACCAGCAGGAGCAGCAGTAGAAGCATTCTCAATAGAGGCAATCTAGCGATTGGTGCGGAGCAGCTGAGCCTTGGCAGTAGAGATGGAAGATTGAATGGCTAGAGAGGCATCCTTCATGGTAGCAATGTGTGAAGTAAGAAAGGTGACTTGCTGACGAAGAACAGCCAGTGTCGAAGCAGAATCGGTAGCAGAAGCAGTCGGTGTAGAGTCCAGGCCTGTTGCTGGAGGATCAGCTGGAGCAGGGGCAGGTGGAACTGAGGAGAGAGTGGCCCGATCATAATAGTGCGACCTTTGGAAGATGCGAGAGTCCATAGAAGTCTTGTGAGTAACGTGGCAGAGCTCTTTATTGGAATAGAGTTGAAACCCTTGTTGTTGTAGAATCCCGGTGATAAGGCATCGAAAAGGGAGATGAATCTTGGCTTCCTTCTTTTTAGCAGAACTCATGATGTGATGATAGATGAGGTGACCAAGATCAATAGGCAGTTGATGTCGAACTTTGTATAACAGAGAGGCCATCTTCTTATTGACAGTGTGCACAGAGACATTCGGGATCCAATTGTTAGAAGCTAGGCGAAACAGAACCGAATAGACTGCAGTAAGTACATTCGAAGGCAGACCATCCTTTGGCCAGATGTTGATCTCATTGTGGGTAAGATGGGATGCAAGAAAGTCCCCAGCGGGCTCAAAAAGATCATCACACGCATCACGCTGAAAATAAGCATTAACAATAGAGGGACTAAAATCATACCAAACATCCCGGAGAAAAACCTGATGATAATGCGGAGAGGTCGGCCAAAGAGAATCAGATGTGAGATTGGCGTAGAATTCTGGAATAAGCCAGGCAGAGTAGGCTCCTACATTCTGGATAGTCTGGAGAAGGTTATGAGCACGAAGAAGAGGAATGATATTGCATACGCGAATGAGGTACTCAATACTGAAATTCTTCTCAACCAAGATATCGCGATTGGAATGTTGCTGCCATACTGTTTCCAATGCAGGAGAGAGCAAGATTGGTCTGAACAAGGTTTCCTTGGACACCTTAGCAGTCTTGGACCTGGATGATGCAGCTGGCTTTAAAACAGGAGCAGAGGCTGGAGCAGAAGCTTAAGGAGGAGCTGGAGTGGACACGCCAGATCTCGATTGTGTACGCTGAGCAAGACCCGTAGGCCGATGTTCAGAAAGCTTGCTAGGACGAGATTCAGAGACAAATTCAACATCATCGGACATGTGAAGCTTTCTCTTAGCCACCAGAGCTGCAGCAGGTGCTTCATCTGGATCAGTAGCTTTGGCTTTTCCTTTAGCCTTCGATGCAGCAAACGACACTCTGATAACTGGGACAGCCGTTTCTGCACGGGCAGAGTTAGGTATATTTGGAATGGTGTTTGAGATGATGGTTGCTTGAACTGATGGATCCTCAGGCTCAGAAACTATGTCCCGAATCGATACCTCAACATCCTCTGGAACAGAGCCTAGAGCAGAGACTGGATCATCAATAACTGGATCTGAGGCTGGAGCAGTGGCTGGATCATGCGAATGCTCAGCCATTTTTGGAGTGGCCTTGTTGGTGCTTTGATGTTGGGAACCTGTGAAGGCAATCGTAGACAGAGGCACAATAGACATACCAGCAGAGGGATCCTAATTTCGCAAGACAATAGCACAATCTCAAAAAAAACATACCATAAATAATCAAGGTAAGAAGCAAATTAAAGCATAAAAAACCGACCATAGATAATCAGGGCAGAATAAGCAAATTAAAGCATAAAAATGCGATGCATGCCTAATTAACAAGCAATAAGATATTGCTCCCTAAGAGATTAGAGAAATCAAACCATAGATTGAGCCCTTAGTTGCCGAGCCCGAAGCTCTTCCTGAAGAATTTCCTCGTCTAAAATTTCATCAAGCGACCATAGGTCATCCGTGATCCCTGATGCTCTGGAAAAGATCTCCTTTGAGTCCTTCACGGATAACTCCTCCATCAGAGATGGGTGTCGAAGAAGCGTTGCAAGAACCAGGCGAGCAGAGATGTCGGAAATTGGAGCTGTGCCTCGAAGAATCTGACGATATAGATCTAAGCGCTCATCTTCCGTGAGATAGAAAAGGAAAGGGTTTAGATCAGAATGGCTAGCCATATTTTAGATAGGTAAAATGGATTTGGTAGAAGAATTTGGCTAGGATTCAAAATTTCTATAGAAGGCGTGAGAAGTGTTTAAAAGAAGGTGAGAGCAATTTTAGGGATTTGATTCTATTAAATGGGGAAGAAGGCGGTGGTGTATAACAGCCAGGAGAGAGAAGAAATTAATAAATAAATCTGATTATTTAGTGCGGTCAAAAAGGCTTATTTTCCGGTCTGGAGTGCTTACTGGAGCAGAGATCATATCTGGAGGATTTTCTGGATTAAATCTGAAAAAGAAAAGGAACAACACAAAACAAAAAAATACAAAAACTTTATTTGAGTCACAAAACAAACTTAGATTGAAAACCTGCACACCCCGAGAGCAGCTCGAAGTAACTCAAATCTTGTGTTATCAAGAGGCTTTGTAAATAGATCAGCTAGATTTTTCTCTGTTGAAATGTACTCGAGGTTGATATACTTTTCCAGGAGGCGGGGTTCCTTGCTGAATGATGCCCTCCATGATCTTCTTCAGGTAGAAGCATTCCTCCGTGCTATGAGTATAAGATTTATGATAACGACAATACTTAGAGGTCTTACCCATCTCTTCGTTCGTCGGGCGATCGTCGGTCGGCGGAGGCGGAGGCGGGGCAACCGCTTGTATCTCGTGGACCGGACGTTCGGGAATCGGCCGATAAGCGTGGACGACGGGGCTTTCGTACCGACGTCTGCCCTCGGGTCACCGAGTTACGTCCGGGCGCCTTTCCTTGGTTTCAGCTCGCGTCCTCTTCCCGCTGGTGGATCCGCCGACTTCGCGCTGCCGCTTATACTTCATAGCCTGCTCTGTGTTGGCCCTCTTGTTGGCCATATGAATGGCTTCTGCGTAGGTGGCCGGGCGATTGTCCCTCAGGTCTCGGTACAGTTGGCCAGACCACAAGGACTCGATGAAGAAGGTAAGCGCCGTCTGGTCCTCGACCTCCTCTATGGACTGGATTTCCTTCTGCCAGCGGGCCAGATAGGTTTTCAAGGACTCGCCTTCATCCTGACGAATGTCGCCCAAGTGTGTTAGGTCCTTTTGTGGTTTCATATTAGCAGCATAATGGCTCATGAAGCGGTCTGCCAGCTCTTCAAAGTTGTGAATCGACCCCGAGGGCTGCGCTACTAGCCACCTTTGGCTGACCCTTTCAACGTGGGTAAGAAAGCGCGGCACATGACCGGATCTCGTACCCCCAAAACCTGCATCTTAGCCTGGTAGCTCAGCAAATGTTCCCGGGGATCGCCAGTTCCATCGAACGTGGCCTGCTCCGGGAACTTGAAATCACCCGGTATCTTATAAGCCATAACCTCGTCCGAGAAGGGTAAGGCGGTCAGCAACGTACGTCCTGGGGATTTGGCTTTCCCCTCCATTCGTTCTTTCAGATTTCGCACTTCTTGTACTAAGTTCGCCACTTCGACCCTCTCCTGGGTGCGATTTCCCGTGGATTCCGTGCTCTCACCGACTTTAGACTCAGCCGGTTGGTCGGGGTTGCGGGGGGGTTGCTCCACGCGACGAGTCTCAGTCCTGGCTCTTTTGGTACGGTTCTTCTCTCGTGCAGCTTGTCGATCGCGAGCGGCTAACGGGGCACGACTGGGTTCCTTCCGACCCAATCGTTCTCTCGCCGACCGGCGTCCAACGCTGGGGCCCAGCCGGGAATGAACGGACTGTACCGGTTGGCTTTCGGCCCGTCGGCTCTGTTGCTGGTTGTCGGGCCTATGAGGCGGCTGTAACTCACGTTGCGGCTGGCGAGTGAGGGACTGTTCTCTCACTCCTAGGCTTGCTTCGGCGCAGGCGCGTCCGATTGCACGCAGCTGCTCTGGGGTGAGCAGCACTTGGGGCAATTGTTGGTTTATCGGTGGTGTCGGCGGCGGTGTTGTCTCATTTTCCCGGCTCCGGGCATTTCTCCGATTCAGCTGGCTTCTCAGGTCTGCGTCCCGTCCATTGTCGTGACGGCTTGATTGTTCCTCACTTCCTGCCATGTTAGGAGCCTCTTAATTCGACGGAGACTCTCGTTGTTGTTTCTTGGACTTGCCTCACTCAAGAGGACACGTGACTCTTAGTTTCGATCCCCACAGACGGTGCCAGTGATGGTTTTAGGGTTTTCGGGCCCAAGGAGGTCCAACACAACCTTTGGCTGGAGGGTGCACCTTTCAATAAAATGTATGCCTATCTCGGAGATAATGTTAGTACTCGGAACCTTTTTAGTATTCTCCCCCTCTGGGTGTTCAATTGTCTGTCCCTTTACAAGAATGGAGGAGCCTTTATATAGCGGCTCCTCCTCTACCGACTTGAAGGCCCTTAATGGCCGACTTCAAGGCTAATCAAGATATGGAGCCGTTGGACGCCATTACTTGGTCGACCAACGGCTCTTCCAGGCTTGTAACAGCCTGACCGAGTCCCGCTTTCAATGCCCTAACGGCTCCCTTTTAAACGAGCCTCTTCAATGCTCTCAACGGCTCCTTGAACCGAGTCTTCCCCTGGGCTTAGGCCTCGGTCGACTCCTCGTCTCGGCCTAAGCTCCCACTGGGCTCCTCTTTATTAGCTCTGAACCGGGCCCCATGCTTGGGCCTGGGCCGGCTCCCGGACTCGGCCCGATTGCTTTTCGGGCTCCTCTTTACACTGGCCCACTTATCCTATCTATTTTCTTTGGGCCCCTATCTCTTGGGCCGGGGTCCTTACCCCATCAGTTACCATTAAGGTCATGGTGGGGGAACCATTTACTCGGCGTCCCGATTTCTTGATTCCCCCGGCCGAGTCCCTCAGTGTGATGGACCGGCCCTTCTCTTGCTAACAACTTTTGAATACTTTAAATTAAATATTACATTTAATTTAAATGATAATGGTTACCTCTTGTAGACCTCAACACCCAGTCTTCTTTACTTGATTCTCCTCTAGTCCT